TGGGAAAACTTTTTTTAGTAAATTAATTTTTAGTAAATTAATTTTTAATTTTTTGAAGATTTATTCATTTTTATTGGCAAGTCAGATATACAGAGAGGAAGAGAGAGAAGATCTTCCATCTGATGATTCATTCTCCAAGCAGCTGCAATGGCTGGAGCTGAGCCAATCCGAAGCCAGGAGCCTGCAGCCTCTTCCGGGTCTCCCACATGGGTACAGGGTCCCAAGGCCTTGGGCCATCCTGCCTTCGCAGGCCACTATTGTGCCGGGTAAAATTTTAATATTTATTACAAAGGTGAGGGGGGTCACAGACCCATGTGTGCCTCTGATTCGTTTAGGATTGGGGTGTGTGATATGAATGAGATAAATGTTTCGCTTTTCCTTCCTGTGTCGTAGAGTAGCAGGGGTAGAAGAGTTTTGGAAAAAAGAAAAGTGTGCCACTCCTTGCTATCACACTACATCAGGACCTAGGGACAGAGATGATTTGGCTTTTAAAGATTTATTTTTTATTGCAAAGTCAGATATACAGAAGGAGGAGAGACAGAGAGGAAGATCTTGCGCCCAATGATTCACTCCCCAAGTGAGTGCAACGGCTGGATCTGAGCCAATCCAAAGCCAGGAGCCAGGAACTTCCTCCAGGTCTCCCACGCAGGTGCAGGGTCCAAAGGCTCTAGGCCATCCCCAACTGCTTTCCCAGGCCACAAGCAGGGAGCTGGATGGGAAGTGCTGGGATTAGAACCGGTGCCCATATGGGATCCTGGCGCATTCAAGGCGAGGACTTTAGCCACTAGGCCACGCTGCCTGGCCCCAGAGATGATTGTTGTGGTAGGTTCCCCTGTGGGGAAAATATTCCAAGGGTGTCACTCGAATGGTCTTCAGTGTTGTGAGAAGTCTTGGCTTCATGATGCCAGAGGCACAAACTTCTCCCTAAGGCTCGTTGGCTATTGTCCTTGTTTACCTCAGTGTGCTCACAGACCCAGGTGCCTGCTGTAGAGCCTGGCCTGGAGTGTTGCTGAAACTGTGCTCCATCTTTTGATGAGGTACTCAAAGTCTGCTATTGGCTTAGATGAACTGGCTGTGTTCTTTCATGCCCACCTGGATATGCTCTCCACTCTTGCACAAGGGTCAGCCACTGAGACAGCCCAATTCTGCACCATGTGCTCCAGAATCAGACCACATGTCTGTGTGATCTTCCCTGAGGTTAGGGATCAAGCACAGCAGTGCACTTGGGGAGACTCCTAAGAAATCTCACCTGGAATGTCTTCACCCTGCCCACCTCTAGGCCTGGCTCTTGTACACACCAGTGGATACTGCAGTCCAGCAGGGCATGCTTCAAGATGCACTACCAGGCCCATTCCCAGCCTTGGTTCTTCTGTGTGCCTGTGGGTACTGTGGCTTAGCCCAGCAAGTGCTGTAGCCTAGTCCAGGCAACCCCCAAAACTCTCTGCCAGACCTGCCCCCAAACACTCTTATGAGTACTGTGACCTAACCCAACCCAGTCCACCCCTGGTCCCAGCAGGGGCTTTGGCCTGTGAAGAACGCCCTCCCTATCCCTATTTCATATCTACACTGTCTCAGCTTCTTTGATTATCTGTGGGTGTAGTGGCTTGGCATGTTAAAGCTCCCAGAAATAATTTTACATTTATCAAATAAGCCCTCAGTGGCCTCCCTGAAACCTATCCCCAGTCCCTAGTAATGAATGCCCCGCCCCCAATGTGCTCCTGGCGGCATTGATGGCCATGGGGTGGCCCCAGTGATATGTACCCACAGTATCATGGCAAGCACTCTGCCCTCTTCCCCCAAAATCTTAAAAAAAAAAAAAAGGCGGGGGTGGCGGGGAGCAGGGCCTAGCGTGATAGCGTAACAGCTAAAGTCCTCACCTTGCACACACCAGGATCCTATATGGGTGCTGGTTCTAATTCCTGCATCCCTGCTTCCCATCCAGCTCCCAGCTTGTGGATGGAAAAGCAGTTGAGGATGGCCTAGAGCCTTGAGGCCCTGCACCTGTGTGGGAGACCCAGAGGAGGCTCCAGGCTCCTGGCTTCGGATTGGCTCAGCTCTGACCATTGTAGCCACTTGGGAAGTGAACCAGTGGATGGAAGATCTTTCTCTGTATATCTGCCTTTCCAATAAAAATAAATAAATCTTTTAAAAAAATAAACTAGGTAACTGCTGGCACACTGGTATAGTTAGCACAGAGTTGGCACTAACCAGGCCCAAGATGCCTGCCAGCTATTGGCTGCTTTTCTCCCAGCAGGGTAACACTTTATCTTTGTATAGTGCAACCTAGGTTGCTGTCTGCAGCTGGGAAGAAGGATTTTCAGCGCAGAAAGTGAGCGGAGGTTCCAGTGGTTTCATGAAGGTATTAGGATGAGCCTAGCCCCAGGACTGCCTGTGTTCACAGGACAGTGGGCACTGATCTGGGAGACAGCCGAGAGGCCAGATGGGCACTGTGGTGTCAGTGGCAGAACATATGGAGAAACACCATGGGCCAATCCCAGGGCAGGCATTGGGGATGTGCCAGGCCATGTGCCCCAGGCATGGACAGCAGCCCTCAGGCTGTCATCTGCCCCTTCACAGCCAGGCCTACCCACCTCATCATGTAGTGTGAAGCAGGAACAGGTGGGGTTGTCGAAACTTCCTGCATCTAGGGAACAGCCCTGAGAGGGGACAGAGGGACATGTCTGTGCCTCCCAGGGCTGGGACAAGTCATCCTGTAGGCCCTTGATTCTGTCCTTCAATTTCAGAACAGCCACCATGGAGAGAAGACATCACCATTTAGGTGTCTGTGGCAGGTGGACCAGCTACAGCTGGTGGTGTGCTACAGGCAGCCTGCTTGTGACTTCTGTCCCTGGCAGCCCAACTACCTGAGGGCTCCTGGAGGCCTGGCACGTGGCTCTCCTCCTTTGAATGCTCTTTTTTAAGACTTATTTTTCTTGAAAGATTAATAGAAAAGCAAAGCAGATTTACAGAGAAAAGGAGAGTTAGAAAGATCCCTTGCATCCACTGGTTCACTCCCCAAATAAACACAGCAGCCAGAGCTGAGCCGATCCGAAGCTGAGAGCCAGGAGGTTCTCTACAGGTGCAGGATAGAATCCCAAGGCTTGAAGCCAACCCTTACTTTCCCAGGCCACAAGCAGGGAGCTGGATGGGAAGTGGAGTAATAACTGGTACCCATATGGGATCCTGGGGCATGCAAGGCCCGTTATTTAGCCATTGAGCTATCGTACCACATCCTGTTTCCATTTTTTTAAACAAATGTTTGTGAAACACCTTCCTGTACCAGGACAAATACAAGGAAAACAGTGTAGCTGCTCTCTGGGAGGGACGGTGATACGGTCCTTACTGTTGCACGTGGTGGGCCTCACAAAGCCCCTTGGATGTGCAGTCTTGACCTTGACCGCAGGTGACAGACGTGAGCGAGCAGCCACACAACCAGCCTGCCCCCAACCCCAGCCCTGTCAGTCTCTCAGTCCCTCCCCGCGTTTCTGGTAGTTACACAACCGGTTCTGTAGCAGTAATCCCCATTCAGTTTTAGGTCTAATCCTGCCTCGCTGTGTGCCAGGCCACTTGCTACCGTTCCCCTGTTCTCTCTTCCGAGGCCGCAGCTGATCCCCGAGTTCTTCTAGAAGAGCTGAGGGAGCAGTCTTCCTTTGAGTCCTTACATGTCCAAAGATGTCTCTGCCATTGTTCCCCTGTGCTTGAGTGACAGTTTGGCTGGATATAAAACTCTGCCTTCCCCAGCCCTTGCGGACACCACCACAGCACCCGTACCCACGGAAGCAGCCACAGCGCGTCCTGGAGGCACCCCACACGTTTCCTGGTCCTCCCACAGGGTCTTCCTGCCCAGCCAGCACGGGAATTTCCTTGGCCCAGTAGCAGTCCATTTTGGGGTCTCCTTGCTGCAGCTTCTAGAAATCCGGGGTGCTTTTCTAAATCGGTGTGCACCAGCTGCCTCAAGCTCTCCCTTCCATCTCTTTCCTTGGCTGTGCCACGTCAGGTTTATTCCTTGGAGTTTGGCTGCTACTGCAGAAGCTTATTCTCCCCCCGCCTTTTTTTTTTTTTTTAAGAGAAAAAGAGAGCTTGAAGTCTCCCATCTCCTGGTTCACTTTCCAGATGCCTGTAAAGCCAGACCAAAGGCAGGATCTGGGAGCTCCTTGTGTCTCTGCCGTGGGTGGCAGGGACCCAGGCTCCTGAGCAGTCACTAGCACCTCCCAGAGTCTTCACTAGCAGGAAGCTGGAGTCTTGTTTCGTACCTCTCACCCACAGGGGTCACTTACCTTTCCGAACCGAATGGCAAAGCTGAATGGCTCCTGGGGTCAGTGGTGTCCTTTCATCCTCTTTACCCCATGCTCTCCGTTTGACTGTGGCCCGACTCAGCTGGACACACTCAGAAAATAGAGAGCGTGCTTGGGCCCACCTCCAGGCCACCACTGGGAGTCACAGGATGGCAGAGAACCAGTCACTATGTGATGTAACCAAGACCACCACTGTGGGCTCTCTGGTTCCTACAGCGGGCATGGAGGGTGGCACGGGAGCAAGGGAGGAGGCCTGTGGCTCACCCGGTACTGAGGGGGTGGTACGCTGGCGTCCTGCCCCTAGCACTGTCTCTCTCATTCACATTCCCTTCACCCCCCACCCCATCTCCATCTCATCCATTTCCTGCAGCGGGCTGCAGGCAGACAGGCTCATCAGGCTCTCCATCCTGTAGGCGGTTAGTTCCCCAGCACCAGAACCATTCGGAGGTGGCCCTGGGGAGCAAAGTTGTGGACCATGTCCTGTTCTCATGATGTCATCCCGAGCTGACCACACATCAGAGCCTGCACCCCAACTCCCCCAGTACAAATCTGAGGATCCAGTGAGCAGGTGTTTGCTGGGCCGTGGTCACATTCAGCCATGGGAGTGCCTCCTATTGCTGGCAGCCCATGTGGGGTCCTCGAGAATCCCCTGGCAGTGGCCAGTGCTAGTGGCCACGGAACCCTCACGCATCTCATCTCTTGCAGGTGTGCCATACCCAGCAGCTTACGAACCCGGGGATTGCAGATCTGACCCTGCGGCCGGACGGCAAGATCCTGGCCACAGCGGGCTGGGACCACCGAGTCCGCGTGTTCCACTGGCGGAAGATGAAGCCGCTGGCCGTGCTGACCTTCCACAGCGCTACCGTCCACTGTGTAGCCTTTGCTGTCAATGGCCTGCTGGCCGCAGGCTCCAAGGACCAACGCATCAGCATCTGGTCCCTCTACCCACCCAAACCATGTGACTCTCACCCGAGCACGTGACTCCCTTACCAACTCACATGATGAACTGACCCGCACACATGGCAACTGTACCAGGGCACATGACCCACCATCCCCTCCCTGTGCACTGGGTGGCTGTCAGGGACCAGACACGTGATGCTGGGCCTCTGCGGGACAGAAGCCAGACCCAAAGCCAAGGAGCCTCTCTGTCTTCGCGCAACTCGCTTTCTTGTAGTGAAACCTCCGTGAGACAGCGGCTCTGGCGTCCAGCCAGGCCCCCAGTGCCCACAGCTTGCTAAAGGGTCCGGTGTGGGGGCCTCATCATGTTGCCACCTCACCCCAGAGGGTGTTTTCCAATAAACTGTTTGATGTAAACCTGCAGCCTCAAGGGGGAGACTCCCCCAAAAGACATTCACCGTCCCTCAACCCCTCAACTAGGGGAGGAATCCCCACCCACAGCTGCCTGGAGTGCTACCTCCTTCTACCCAGAGAACCCCTGGTAGGTTCCTGGCAGCCTATGCATCACCAGGACTGGGGGTTAGGGTTACAGATCACCATGCATCTGGCCCTTCTGGAACCTTCAATATGTGAGAAAGTGCCTCCCCACACACCTAGCTATATGGCCTGGGAATATCGCATTTACAATACATCCCTGGACATGTCCTTCCTCAGGTCCTTGTGTGGCTGGGTACAGGTTCACCTCAGCCTTCATGGAGGGGGCACTGCAGGCATCCCAGGTGGGCCCGTGGGTTGGGGCTGGCTTCCAGGGAAGGGCAGCAGGTGGCGGGCAGGGCAGGCAGGCAGGCAGGCAGGTGTCTGGTGCGGAGATGCTGGTCCAGTGTCAGCGTGCCCTTCAGTCCCCTGGCTGTTAGCCTAGGACCCTTGGTGATCTGGGGGTGGTTCCTTTTTGTCGTGTGTGTGTGTGAATGCTCATCACACCTTCATTCATAAGTGCCAGAAAGGGACAGTGGTCCACAATTTGAGTCCCAGCTACTTCACCTCCCACCCAGCTCCCTGATAGAGCTCCTAGGAAGGCAGCAGAGGATGACCCAAATGCTTGGGCCCCTGCACCCATGGACCCCTGCACCCATGGGCCCCTCCCCATGTTGCACATCAGATACAGATATCTGCTCTTCCCTTGCCTGTCAGGCAGCAAAGCCCTCTGGGTACCCTGACTGCAAGGAGGCTGGGTGTGGCCAGGTCAGTGCCTTCCCCTGCCCTTGGCCACACCCCCCGAGAGAGCAGCCAGCACACATTGGCTGCCAGGTGTCACCTGCACGCATACCAGCCCCTGCACCTTGTTCACCGGCACGTGGGGGTCCAGTTTAGAAGTCCCATATGGCAACCAGGGGGACAAAGCAGCAGCCACAGCCGCTGCCTACCTGCAGGAAGGGCCCTGTGGTCGGGAGAAAACCCAGAGCTGCAGCAGCGCCACCTCCACTGGGTACATCCACCTGCCAGGACCTTGCCCCCCAGAGGGACTTGCTGTGCCCTTGGCAGAGGCAGGCACCAGGCACTCTCAGGCCCAGGGGTCAGCTGAGGAAGGACTCGGATGGGGACGGGGGCTGCCCAGCGTCCCTGCATGTCTGTACCGCCTGCTCCCTGGAGCCAGGCTCCGTCAGGTGCTTCCCGCCTGCATCCTGTGCCAAGACTCCACTGAGCACCCTGCACACAAAAGGCTGTTTGCTCAGAGTGGCAGCATCGCTCCAGGGGGTTCTTGAGAAACGCTTCATTCTCAACTAGCTATGACCTCCTCCCCCTCCAAGCACAGCCGTAGACAGCAGAGCGGAACGCGCCATTCACCCATGCTTCATGCAGATGAGCGTGGCGGCGGCCCCACCTTCCAGCCGGGGGCCCTGCCACATCTGTGGGGCCTCGGCTTGGCCTACACGTGGGAGTGGTGCTCCTGACAGCATTGGCTCCCTGGGTCTACAGGCAGTAGCTCGGCTCCCACAGGCCCTGTGGCTGCAATAGGTTGGAGGGTCTCAGGGCACAGGGAACACTGGCCCAGCCTGGCCAGCCCTGTTTTATGGGCAGATGTGGGGCTTCTGACTGCCACCTGGTGAATCAGGCATTCACCAAGGTATTTACCAAGGACAAGACTGGAGGGATAAAAGGAAAAGACAAGTCGAGGACTGCAGACTGACTGTGACAGTTGGAGCCATTTTGGTCCATCCTGAAGTAGCCACTCAAACAACCAGCAATACAGGGTGGCTTGGGGGGTGTGTGTGTATATACTCCACAGGGCAGCGCCTGGACCACAGGATTCCCTCACACAGTAGGGCAGTCACACTCTTCCAACTGCCCACTGCTCCGCACTCTCTCGGTCACGTGCATCCAGGCCCCTCCCTTGGCTGGATGTGATGAAAATGTTCGTCTTCAGGACTATACTGTGGTGTAGCACACTAAGCCTTTATCTGCGGTACTGGCATCCCTCCCAGGCACTGGTTTGAATCCCGGCTGCTCTACTTCCCCTCCAGCTCCCTGCTGGATTCACCTCCCTGGGAGGCAGCCGGTGATGCAGTCCTGGTTCCTGGCTTCAGGCTGGCCCAGCCCCAGCTGTTATGGCATTTGGGGAAATAAAACAGCAGATGGAAGATCTCTTTCTCTCCATTTGACTGTCTCGCTGCCTTTCAAATAAAAACTTTAAAATAAATAAATGGCTAAAGGTAAAAACTATACTGTGTGTGTTTAATATTTATTTATTTGAAAGGCAAGAGTCATAGACAAAGGGAGAAACAGAGAGAGGGAGAGAGAAATCTTCCACCTGCTTGTTCACTTTGCAAATGGCCACCACACCAAGGTTGGGCCAAGCCAAAACCAGGAGCCAGGAGCCTCACACAGGACTCCTGGGTGGAGGCAAGGACCTGAACACTTTGGCCATTTTCTGTGTTCCTAAGTAAATTAGAAGAAGTGGAGCAGCTCAGACACACACCAGTACCCATGTTACAGATGGTGGCTGACCCAGCCATGGCAGAGTGCCAGCCATTCCCTCCACCACCCCCATAATGTTTAAAAAAAAAGGAATTCAGAGGCCAGAAGTAAACCTTCACAGATAAGGCCAAATGATTTTTTATTTTTTAAGATTTTATTTTTATTTTTATTGCAAAGTCAGATATACAGAGAGGAGGAGGAGAGAGGAAGATCTTCCAACCAATGATCCACCTCCCAAGTGACCGCAATGGCCTGTGCTGCACCGATCTGAACCAGAAGCCAGGAACTTCCTCCAGGTTCAGAGTCCCAAGGCTTTGGGCCATCCTTAACTGCCCTCCCAGGCCACAAGCAGGGAGCTGGATGGGAAGTGGGGCAGCCAGGACTAGAACTGGCGCCAATATGGGATCCAGGCGTGCGCAAGGCAAGGACTTTAGCCACTAGCTAGGTCATTGCACCCGGCCCGGCCAAATGATTTTTAAAGATTTATTCTGTTATTTAAAAGGCAGAATTACATAAAAAGAAAGGAAGAGACAGAGAGAGATCTGCCATCTGCTGGCTTATTCCCCCAAAATGGCTGCAATGGTTGGAGTGGGGCCGGTCTGAAGCCAGGGGCCAAAAAATGTATCTGAGTCTCCCATGTGCGCGCAGGGATCCTAGGCCCTGGACTATCCTTTGCTGCTTTCCCTGTCAGGGAGCAGGATGGGAAATGGAGTATCCAGGACTCAAACTGGCATCTATATGGGATGCTGGCACCGTAGGCAGTGGCTGAACCTGTTACACAACAGCACTGGCCCTAGGCCAAATTTATTTTAAGGCAAAATCATTTTTGACCCAGGGTGTTAATGCCATGCAATAGGGAAAGGACAGTTTTGCTTCAAGCAAATAGTGCTGGGAATACTAGATATGCACCTGCAGAAAAGTGAAGCAAAATGTTTCACTCCAAGCAGGTCAAAGACTGACACATAAGACCTAAAAACCATAAAACTGTTGGAGGAAAGCACAGGTATTGAATTTGGCATAGATGTCCTGATGTGTCAGCAAAGGTTCTGCTAATGAAAGAAAACAACATCATGGCAATTTTTAAATTGTGTGCATTTTGGGGCCGGGGTTGAGAGGCAGTGGGTTAATCCCCCATCTGTGACTCCTGCATCCCATTCACCTCCCAGCCGCTCCACTTCTGATCCAGCCGCCTGCTAATGCGCCTGGGAAAGCAACCGATGATGGCTCAAGTGCTTGGGCCCCTGCAGTCCTCTGGGACAGCTTGCTCCTAGTGTTAGTCTGGCCCAATACAGCTGTTACAGTCATTTGGGGAGTAAAACAGGAACTTCTTCCAGGTAACCCACACGGGTTCAGGGTCCGGATATTTTCAATATTTTGAAAGGAAAAAAAAAAAACTGTACCTAAAGACATTATTGGGGTTAGCATGATAGCTCAGTGGCTAAAGTCCTCACCTTGCGTGCACCAGGATCCCACACGGGCACTGGTTCGTATCCCAGCTGCTCCGCTTCCCATCCAGCTCCCTGCTTGTGGCCTGGGAAAGCAATTAAGGATCACCTAAAGCCTTGGGACCCTGTTCCCATGTGGGAGACCCGGAAGAAGCTCCTGGCTCCTGGCTTTGGATTAGCTCAGCGCTGGTTGTTGCAGCCACTTGGGGAGTGAATCAGTGGATGGAAGATCTGTCTCTTCTCTCTGTATATCTGTCTTTCCAATAAAAATAAACAAATCTTTTTTTAAAAAATCGTCCTTTCCATTTAAAAAAAGGCATTCTAACAGAGTACAAAATCATTCAGAGTAGGAGAAAATGTTTGCAATCATTTGTCATATAAAATTCAGGTTAAAAACAGAGCGAACAGCAAAACTCAACAAAAACTCAGCAAAAATCCACCCAAAAGGGACAAACAGGGCCAGCACTGTGGCACAGCAGGTTAAGTTTCTGCTTGCAACTTCAGCATCTCTTACTGAATTCCAATCCAGTTTCCTGCTAGTATGCCTGTGAAAACAGTGGATGATGGATGCTTGGGACCCTGCACCCACATGGGACACCAGATGGAGCTCCAGGCTCCTGGCTTTTGGCCTGGCTCTGCCCTGGCTCTTGTAGAGTCATTTGGGGAGTGAGCCACCATATGTAAAAGCCCTAACACTTGTCTTGCTCCCCTTCTGTTGGTAACTGCTTTTCGGATGAATAGTTAAATAAATCCTTTTTAAAAATAAGCCAAGGATTTGGAAAGACAGACATGTCTCCACAGAAGACTGGCGCCTTGCCACAGCATTTAGTCAGCACCAGCAAAGTGTAAGAGAAAGCTGCCAGTGAGGGGAAGCCACTGTGCTGCAACAGGCCGGGCTGCCCTGGACAGTGCCAGCATGAAATATTGAAGCTCAGGTTTGAGTCCC